GGGAAAGGATTGGTAACAAGTATAAATAATTCGTTAAAGCCCACGCCTTCAACGCTATATCGAAAGAACTATCATTCGAGCAATTCCTTCTGTTATATCTTTTGGTTTAACAATCTTTCGCGTATCATTTTGTACATGAGACAAATTTTATATCGATTCAGTTTCTTTTCTAGTACATGTACTTATTTTTGGATCCATTTGCTTCGAATGGCGTAATAAACCAGTAGTATTTGCATACTTAGTTTTAAATTCATGGTGACAATGTATGCATTCCGCCTCTGTATCATCTTTTTCCTGAAAATGTTCCCAAACAGAGCTTCTCTTTACCTTCTTCCTTTACATGATATCTTCTGCACTACTTTCTGCTACCACAACTTTACTCTCACTATCACTCGACACTTTTTTTAAAGATTTTTAATCTTTATTAAATTTACACAGATTTTGAAACATACGTCTGAGCTTCCCGAATTTCTCAGCGATACTGCTCAACAGCGTACATAATGTTCAAGTACTAAGCACGCAGTCACATGTTCGTTTACATCAGGTCACACGATTCTTAGAATCCGTGTTTCCAATAATTTCACTGGCAGAAGAAATTGAACTGTGTATTTACATATTTTGTAGGCTGCTATATAGCATTGTGGAGTAGTTCGAAAAACGGTAGCCGGGTTCCCGATATTTTCGGGTTTTCGCACACCTCTACCAGCCGTGTCTACCAGCATAATTTAAAAGGAAAAAATTCTGTCTAGAGTGTCTTCTTTCAGTTCTTTCGTAAGAAATAAATACAATTAATTAAAGTCTCAGTATTATAAGAAGATAACATTATAAATAGGATATTTATTGAATTTATTTATTTATTTACATCTATATCAATTCTTCCTAGATATTCCTAAATTTTGAAAGGAAAGAAGACCCCTGGTATAAACAGTAAAGTACAATTTGACTGTGTTTAAAAAAAAAAATTAATGCAAACGCGTTATTAAATACAAAAATATCAATTTTCTCCGAGCATATCATTTAAGTTTCGAAGGGGAAAAAAGATTGGGGCGAATATCAGTACCTATCGCACCGCGCGAAGCGAGAATGAAAAATTCGTCTGACAGGAAGCCGATGATGCGTTGTTACCGCTGGCATATTCTTCGATTCCCGATACAACGTACCGCGATGAGAGAAATTTAAACGAAACATGGAACGGGGTCAGGAACTGATGTTCGTGTAAACGTGGGGTTGGGGTTCTCCAAGTGGAAACTCGCATTAATCCATGGCTCGCTACTCACTTGATATGTACTACGTTTCTCTCTCTCTCTCTCTCTCTCTCTCTTCCTCGGTACCGCGTTTTCCCCGTCGCCTTTTTCACTATCCGCTTTTCGCTTCATTTCTCTTTCGAACATCCTGCTACCTATCACAGTGGTGGCACGCGGCACGACTAAACAAACTGCTCCACAATTCGACTGATATCCCGAGAAATCTTTGTGACTGGATGAGCGACAGCTTCGAAATTATTCGAATAACGCATCTTACTTTGTGTCGTATCTTTCCCTTTCTTGCGGCGAATTTTATTTTTCAATTTTTCTGAATAGCATCTACTGCTTGTATCGATAGAGTCTTATCTGTGGAGTTCAGCGTGTGAAATTTTGAGAAATCTCTAGATTTTAATGTTGCGATGTCCGGATACAATCCTCGTGAATTCTACTTCATTGCTTACTATCGACGGAATTTTTTAATATTAGAATTTCGAGAAGTTTGGATCGAGAAATTTTGGTTACTTTGCTTACTAAAATTTTGCGAAGCATGGGAAATTCCTAAATTTTAATGTTGTAATAACTCTTTGTATATCGTGGATTTAATTGTAATGCAAAGTTAAAACCTGGTATACAGAGAGATAAAATCATTTAATTTCGTTACCGAGATTGTTGTTATTTTTATCTTTAAATTTAACGTTGAAGTATCTTAATGGATTTTATAATTAAACTGAAATGTACAAAATGTATACTAATGCACGTATGCACCAGATAATAAATAATTTTTATTTATTATCAGAATGGACCAACCGTGTGCAGATGCATCATCCAATGCATTCGGCCTACGTTTTTATTATCTCATTCCTTAAAAATTTAGTATCATTTCCAATGTTACCGATTCAGTATAAAATAAGAGTATTACTGTTTGAAATTGAACTAAATAAACTATAAAATTGTGAATTATTATTCTTATACATCTACACATATGGATTTAAATTATTAAAAATTCCCACATATCTGTATTTTTATACTTGAATTTTTTCCTTATTATTTTTATCATATTTCAATATAGAATCTTTTATGAACAAAGGACGAAAAATTATATTACATTACATTATATAAGCTTCTACAACTTATGTACTTTCAAAAACAAATTTCATTATACCTATTATACTTATATCGTCATAAATTTTATTTTCATGTCAGAAAATAATTCACAAATTATTATTAAAATCAACGTTAGTTTCGAGTTTCGATTTGTTTAGTATGTAAGTACATACTTTGCCAGCCGTCGCGTATATTTATGCCCGCATTGCCCGCAGACGAAACTTGTCTGTGCAATCTCCTGCCGTGCCGACCGTTGACCTTACCATAACTCGACTTTAATCCCGCTGCACAAACGAGGTATATGAATAGACATTGCTTACAATGTATTTTTTTCTGCCACGATTAAATATAACGATTTAAAACAAAGATTGATGAAAATTGGAATAAAAAATTTAGCATATATTCGACTACAACATTCATTTAAAAGCATTAGAAAAAACTGTTCTAATTATGATATTTTTATGAATAATATAATTAGATATAATGTTGTTTTATTTACAAATATGTAAATTCACAGCATATTTGCATAGCTATTCTTAAAAAATGACCGATTTAATTTTTAATATATGGAATATATTAATAATTGTAATATATTCCAACATAAATTGTATGTCACAGACATAGATAGATATGCCAGGTATTCATATATCTCGTGTGTGCTCGTGTGATCATTATAATATTCATTGTTTGTTTGAATATTCATACTTTATTTATTTATATCTTCATGAATATTTAATTTTTGTGAATAGCCATATTGAATGTGATTGTATAAATTACTATTACTGCAATATTCTAACTAATTATCAATTACATCATCGATACTAATTATTAGTATTATATTCTAATGATATTCTATTCATATTCTATTCAATATTCTATTCATGATATCTATTATTGATAAATTGTTAACAGTATTCAAACACGTGATGTGTATAAATGCTTAGCCTAAATTAACAAATAAAATACAAAAAATGTTACTACTCACAGGTAGAATGAATACCCATGATTGTAAAAAATTCTACGTAATAAAACCAGTCACTCTTATCGATTTGGACCTTTCATCCTACGATATGATTAAGTGACCAGAGGAAATAAAATACATACGACTCACAATTAGATGCGAAGAACGTGGTCGACAATACTGCAGTAGACTAGAATTCATCAGCGAGGTCGTCATCATAGAGGAACATCATCATTGAAAAAAATTGTACAAAATCTGCAACAAAACGTGGAATACTATATTTTCTTCTTAAAAACACAATTATATAAAGAGCTTCAAATAATAAAAAATTGAATTCTATTAAATATAAAATTTTAATAAAGACCACGAGAGATTAAAATTTTAATATGAATGATAATAAGAACTTTACAACTTTATAACAATATAATTGAAAATTTAAAGTTTCAATTAATTCTAAATTTTATTTTAATAAAAGAATAAATGTTAAGTTTCCGAATTCTCAATCAGACTTGAATTAATTAAATAATAATCATTAAAATAATAATCATTAAAATAAAATGTGAAAAATAAAACTGAGATACAAAACACGAAAATACTTCCATTCTTAATTTTTGAAAACACCACTGAACACTTCTCAGGAAATAAGACATGAGGAATGTGAGCAATTTGTAACAGAATGTGGAATATTATAACAATTTGTTTTTAAGTTTTAATGATTAAAGTTTGATTTAATGAAATAGAGCGCTAGACAACATTCAATAGATTATTATATAAATGCATATTGATTAGACAAAGATAATATTAGAGCATAAATGGTGAAAAAATAGTAATACAGATACTACGCAATAAATATGTAACGCACCTCAACCGTAACGATGTCCTAACGCTACGATTTCCAATAGCAAATAACATCTCTCACCGTATATTCTTCTACACTTCTTCATTCGTTCGGAAATCTTCGGTTCCCCCTCTCACATGACAAACCAAAATTTTGCAATACGTCGAAACCTGAAAACCAAAAGAACAATAAACATATTCAATGTTTTGAATTTTGTTCGATACAAGGCCATGCATAAACACATTCAAGACATTTCTTAAAAGAGAATATTTCTTGGAAAAGGATATTTCCAAGAAATATTTTCTGTAAACATTAAATACGACTGCCTTGGTCGACTGCCCTATATAACTTCCATAACATTTTGATTTAACGTAAGTAACTAAAATTATTTTACTAAATTGTTACCTAAATTGAAATAAAATTATTTCATTATATAATTTAATATAATAATATATTATATAATTTAATATATATATATATATATAATATATCTTTTTATATAAGATATATATAAGATATCTTTTTTATGCGAAAAAATTGTAATTAACCTTACTCTATGTTAAAAAGGAATATAGAGAATATAAAGCTCACTATATATACAGTATTTCACTGTTATCAATAGATTATCAAACACATAACATAATCAAATATATATATGCACATGTATAAACTTTCTAACAATGTGACAAAAGAAAAACCTTTGAAATGCTGTTTAACGAAACTTGGTATTCTTGAATCAACCCTTTGAACTAAACGTTTTAAATTATAGAGGTCGTACCGATATTTCAAATTTCTTATAGACTCGAATAACTTCAGAACACACCGAGTCCCATAAAGTAGCACAGCAAGCATTCGAGATATTGCATGCATAGCATGATCGAGGCAGCACAATCGATTTAATGACCTCGTCGACTTGAAGTTTCCTAACCTCCAAATAACGCATGAGCTGTGCGTGTACGAGAAAAATTAAATTATTGAATTCGAATACGGGAGAAAGGAAATGGAAGAGGAAATTCAGGAAGAGGAAAGAGAAGTACTTCATTCGATATATGAAGGAGATTCAGCTTTTAAACAGTTGACACCTACAACATTTCAATATAAGGTTTGCTGTCTATAAAAATTACGAAATATAATTTTAAAATTTTAAAAAGGATCATCATCAATGACGAATGAATCATAATCATGTTTATTCAAATTTTATGACTTTCGACTGACAAGTTTTTATATATTTAACATTAATTGTATATACAGTATGGAGAGGACAACGATATGAAATCATTTCTATTGGAGATTTCATGGGGAACAACATATCCATCAGAGAGGCCTATCATTAATATGAACACTTTTTACAACAAGCACCTGTAAGTCCAGTCATCTTATCCACTGACTATTCTTGCATTCTGTTGCTTTTATTAAAGGTAAATGATTGGAATACAGTGTACAAGAAGTAAAAGACAAAGTGGTGCAACATGTGGAAGCAGAGATTGACCAATGGCTTGGATGTGCTATGACTTATACATTATTTCAATCTGTACAAGAACATTATACTGAATTGGTCTCAGCGCAACCAGATTCTGTAGTTGATTTAAACTCACAAACCAATCAGCTAAAGATAACAGATGAACATCAACAGGTAAGAATCAATTATATTGAAATATAAATTTACTCGATATATATGAAAGAGAATTAATTTGTTATGTAAAGTTGGAAGAAACAACAAAAAAGCCAAAAAAGGAACATCTGACTAAAGCTCAAAAACGTAGACAATGGAATAAAGCAGATGGAAAGGGAGAGAAACCACGAGGATGGGACTGGGTGGACATAGTAAAACATTTATCACAGACTGGCCCTAAACAAGAATCTTAGTTCAACTTCATTGAAATATTTGTACAGGTTAAAGGCGTATTATATTTTTATAAATTATTGAAAATAAACTGGTTCCCATATCGGTTTTACTAATATATTATAAATTATAATTACCTGTGATAAAAATTTGTAAAAAAATATTTACAAATAATTTTATCTCATTGCCAACAGATAGTTACAAAATATGCAAATAAAATTACTCAAATAATTAACAACTATAAAATTTGATCGAGATAAATAATGTGGAAGGAACAATGATATTTTAATTTCCAATGTTCATGCCTTTTCTTTTATAATTTTTTTCTTATAAAAATCTCCAACCTGCTACTGGTAATAGATTTGTTTCTGTTATCCATCCTAAAAAGCAACATTTTTACGAATAAAACATATAATAAACTTTTATCATATAGAAATAAAATTACCTTTGCTTTCAAGATCACTAATGAAGGCTTTGTATTCGCTAGAGATCAATAAATTCGTAGCATAAATACTCTCTATGGCTTTTGACGATTGTATGCCATTATTTGTATTAGAGTACCTTTTATTAAGTACATAAAGTCGCATTAAAGGATACGACAGATCACTTACTTCGGGTTTTACAAAAACATCCTGAAAAAGACGTAATATCTCAACATATAAGTATTAAAATTCTTTCATATGATTTACTTACAAGTGGCACTTTCAAAGACATACAAATAAAAAAGCCGCAAAGGCAAGCGTGGAAATATGCTTCTAGGACATCATAAGGTTGCGCGTCTTTTTTAAGACATATAAAAATAGTTTTATTTTGTACATCAATAGAAATCAAATATTTTCTATCTAGAAAGAGTTTCAATGCAAGCTCGGTGTCACTTGTTAAAATTATATCCTGTTTTATAAGAGCCGCAAGAGAAATACCTATTTTTATATTGAATCCACATATACTTATTGCTGCAAAGAAATAATTAATAGGAGCAGCAATTTGTATTAATTTAACGTTTAAAATTAAAATTAAATATTCTTACTAGGTTTTGTTAATAGTAACACTGATTCCTTTTTGTTAATTTCTTCCGGTTTTGGAATAACTTCGTTTGAAATATAACTTTTTATTATTAAAGCTAAACGATCTTCGTTCAAAGAATTTAAGCATAATGCCCTTACCGCAGAATAATTTGCATACAGATGTATTATCACAAGAAAGAGATAGAGTTCCATTATATATCTAGGTGCAGATTATATATATTATACTGTACTTGACAAAATTAAATTCAATTATTAAAAAATAATAAATACTACTATATTTACCGCTCATTGTGAAAAATTGAAAGTATTAAAATACCAACAAAAGATGCTATTAAATTTACACATGTTTCTTGACTTCCATCTTTAGCTGATACATCTGCCAAATTATTTTGTAATGCCTGTAATGCAGATTAATTTGTTATAATTAACAAAACTAAATCTATTTTAGATCTATCGTACCTGATGCTGTGTAAGTGCTGCCCTTGTTGCTCCACCAGCAACACCAACAATCGATTTCATTGCTGTTGAAATGCACAATATTCCAAGCGAATAGGAGGAAAAATAAGGTAAGAGTAATTCTAATCCCATTGCTAAATCATTAAGAATGTCAGCAAAGAGCCTCCATTTTTTACATTGTCCATCTAAATTTGTCCTAATGAATGAAAGACAATCACTACTTTTGTAGAGACTAATTAGAAATATTATATTCTCGTATATAATTTTATTTACCCATTCCACCATGCAAATACAATACGACCAACCATCCCAGTTCCATCTTTTAATATCCACGTTATAGCTGCTGCTAGTGGAGTTGCTGCAGCCTCACCTACACCTACCCCTTGCATAATGGAATGTGTTGTGAGTGTACCCATTATGGTACTTGCAAATGCCTATAACAAATCAAAGATAATAATGACATAATTACATTGATAGTTTCACTTATAATTTTTGTAACTTTCTATGTAAAATAACCTGAACTGTATCCCATATTTGATAAGATGTATAATCAGGGTGAACGCTGTCAGGATATCCTTGAGGTAAAAATACCTCCTTTACAATCGATATGAAACCAGAATAAAAAGACTTCGTTCTAGTTGTGTCTGATAACAGTTCGGTTATCGATTGTTCGTCTGTAGACCAAGACGAATGATAGGTTAGGTAAACTAACAGTGACGTTTGACATGTCAGAATACAGTTACCTTTTGATTTGACGAAAAACCTGTCTTTCTCACTCCCGTAGGCCTCGGTGAATAGTAATCGCTCATGCATCTTGAAGTGCACCGAGATTACGTTGTTTTGATTTGAATATACCGTGTGGAAACATATGCACTTTTATTAACGATCATAGTCGCTGTTGCATCCACGCGCGATTATCTCCACTATGAATACAACAAAATTCCCTAATATTTTGCTCAAAAAAATTGCATAATCAAATTTTTTTAAAAAAATTTCCGTAACGTGTAAAAATATATGGAAAAGATAGCAAAAATGCAGTTTTCTTTTTTCTTTTTTTAATAATCAATATTTTACTTTAATTTGGAAATCTTATTAAAATGAAAAATTTTCTGTTTGATTCGAACATTTTTTGTATTTTACTTCTGCAAGCTTTTCGTGACATCCATATTCGGGAGAATTAAAGAAACGTCTTCAATTATTCCATTCAATTCGTTTATGCAGGCATCTAATCTTTTTTTTACCTTCTTTGCGTCAAATTTTATATTTTTATATAAATTAATCTTTTGCATTTTATTATGGAAGTCGGAAATTAAGTGACTCCCACGAATTTTGGTACCATCAGCCATTAGACTCGAATATTTAAATGATTCTTGTTTTTCTTCCTGATCCTTTGGTAAATCCACTTTGTATTCAGCCAATTCAGTTATCGTTTCTTGTAATTTTTCTTTTTTAGGTTCATATTTAATTAATTTACATATTTGACTAATCTTTTCTTGATCTACATTGTCTTCATCATGTAGATAAGTATCCAATTGGAGAATTTGATCATTTTTCTGCTTCTTTCTATTTGTTAATTTTACTTCTTCTGTATCGGGATCAAAAGTTATGTGAATATTAGTCTTCGATGAAAATTTCATCTTTTTATTCGGTCTGGAATTATACTCCTTAATATACGAGTCTCTTTTGAAACAATTTAAAAAGGTTCGTTTCCTTTTACACTCCATTATTGAATCGCACAGAATTCCGTCAGAAATTTTCTTCTTTTTTCTTTCTTGCAAACCAGGTTTACAATCCAGGTAATATTTCATCCAAAGAAACGTTATTTAAATCTGTTAAATAAATAGTTCTTTCGTCATCAATCTTATATTCGGTTTTCTAATTATTTATAGAATTATTTTCAAAAATCTCAAAGAAATTCAGAGATGAATCAGAGATGAACATTTTGAAGAGCACTGACCTGGCCTCGCAGTTGAACTTTAAAATTTATAATTCCAATTTTTGGAATCTTATTTAAATTGTCTTTTTCATCTTGAACCTGACAATAATAACGTAATTTTAACTTTACGATTTGACGTAACTTGCGTTTAACATTTTTATTGCTACTTTTATTTAACAATATTATATGTATGTTCAAAATAATCTCTCTAAAACTATAATCTTGTATAAAGCAGAAAAATAATTTTTCTTGTGTATATTACATTGTATATTTATTCAATCAAAGTATGCACATTATCATGAAGTAAATTCAGATTCGCACGTGATTCATCTGTTCTTGTATCTAATTAAAATAAATAAATATTTTTGGAAATGATAAACATTCTACATGTTTTATGAAGCGTAGTATGTCCGAGAGGTACGTGAAAGAAATTTTAGAGAAGCTCGAAGAAATTGAGAAACTGCACGCGAAGTTGCGCAGTTTGGTGCCACGCGTAAAAGATCATGAATGGAGAGATGTGAAAAACGAAAGTAAAACGAATTATCTAGAACAAAAACCTATCAATTTTTGTCGAAATTCAGAAATTATAAGAAATATGTCTAAAGATTTAACAACGAAAATAAAAAAGTTATACGATCCAAATACAAAACCTATGAAATATCTTAAAATGTTTAAAAATCATTCTAATAATAAATGGAAAAGTTTCAAAAACTATTTGTTGACCATGAACGAATCCGACACTGTATTAGGTAAAAATGGAATTAAATTTTTTACTTAATACTAAACATTAACGTATATATGGAATATTTGATATATTAATTAATTATTTATAAATAATGGATATATCTGATTTATTATTACAATTTCTAGTAAACAGAGCTTCTCAAGTGTCGAATGATGATTTAGCAAACAATATTTCAGAAAAAACAATTTCTTTTGCAATTCCTCAACCAAAAGTCAATCATCTTTTTAAGAAAAGAAGATCTACATTGCAAGATCTACCAGAACGGTTACTAAAATATTTTGGTTACTCTCATGATTCCACCTTTGTAAATAAAAATGTAGTATCGATACACGATCATGGTTTAGGTGAAAATGAACCGCATAAAGTGCATAAAACGTCAATCATTCCAGATGAGAAGACTGAAACATTAAAAATCGTTTCATCCGTAAGAAGAATCTCAATAGGAGACAACAAGAAGTGATCTTCATTAAACGATTGAAAAACTTAAATTACCAAACAAAATTAAATAAAATATCCAAAGTAAAAGAAATTTCTATTAAAATATTAAATTTTGTTCCGCTAATTATATTAATGAAAACATGAATTTGCATAAACATCTAATATGTATATTTATATATATTAAAAATATTTAAGCATGCACCGTGTGGATCACCCCTAGGGACTAATTTATATTGTTATTCTTATCGCACGCTGTTGCCCTCTTTGTCTACCGCGCATATGAGTCTGTCCTTGTTGCACGCTGCTGCTCTCCTTGTCTACCGCGTTTATATCTCTGTCCTTGTCGCACGCCTGTGCTCTCCTTGTCTAATGACGCTCAATACGTAGACAGCAGAAAAAACAGAATTTTCTACTTTTAGTATCACCGAGGTATCAATAAATGGCGCCACCGTTGCTTCCAAACATTGACAGGTGACAGTTTTTCCACAAATTACGAGAAGAAATTAAGAGGAATCATTTGTGGACTGTTATGGTTGCGTCTCCGATTTTAGAGACCCTAAGCTTGCGTTTTATGTTTCGTTTAAGTATAGTTTACGTATATAAAGGATGTTTCAATTTCGTTTACGTTGGTAGTAATGCCAGTAGTGAGTGCATAATTTCGCGCAAACTGTAGTGAATATTAGATTCAAATTTATTTGCGAACGATAGCATTATCTTTCAAATATTATGTGGAGTGCAAATTAGTAGCGTGAAAAATTAAAATTAATCATTCCCTTGTATGGTTATAGAGCGTTTAGTTCCACCGGTCTGCCATAACGCGGCGCTAGTGTTTCCTACCCCGTAAAACAGAAATTTTCATTTGCGAAAAAACCTAATTTAACGAAATGAATTGTGAACTTTTGTGATTGTATTACCCTAATTAGACCCTTAGCTTTCTGTTCATAGCCCATTTGACCTGTAAAGTGCAGAAATAAGAATTAATTTTTATAATTAATTAGTACCACTTGCCGCTAGATGGCGCCACCATGTCCATTTTCTGACAGTTCACACTAATTACGAAAAAAACCTAATTAAAAAGAATAATTTGCGAACTTTTTTATATGTTTTCTTAAAATTAGTATCCCCGCTTTCTTTCTACGTGTATTTTTCCTAGAAAAACATGTGTAAAAAGTTGGATTTTTTTTCAATAGATCGAAGGATGTTCTTATCGCACATTATTGCTTACTATTTTTTACTATGTCGGTATTTCAGAACCCCAGCCATGTAACCCCGTAAGATGCAAGGTCTATTCATATACTTCGTCTGTGGTGCAGTCAACAACCTTGGTTAATAGAAATATTCTTATTACCATAACAATTTTAATTGCTATTCGATAATAGAAAAGTTTTGTTGATTAAAATTAGCAGTCATTTTGAATAAAATCACTTAGTTATGAAAAAGCATTATTTCATTACGTACTACTAAATTAAATAAGTTACATTCGTTGCATTAATAAAACTGAAAACTAAGATTTAGAATTGAGACACGCTTTTTTAACTTACTTTGAAGTTTAAAAAGTGAAGTTACGGACATTTTATTAAATCAATTATTCAATAAACGATAAGAATTGTTTCAGGTTAGACAAATACATCTTTATACAAATACGTGCGCAGTGATCTCAGCGCCATACGGTGAAATGTACAATCACAATCGATATAATTTCTCGCAATTGATCTAAAATATTGGTATATAACGTTAGTTTTAAGCGGGAAGCCTAAGGAAGATGAAGCATCACTTATAAATTTTCAGGTAAAACTACAATCACTATTACTATTATTAAGATTTACTATTAATAAATCCCTATTATCAAAATTTATTAACATGTAACAACACACAGTTGTCATCATTATACTGATAAAATTTAAAGCCATTCTGGAAATTCATGATTTTCTAGCATTTACACTGATCGAATCCCTTGTCGGCCATTGTGAAATCTACGTATGTTTCAAAGTAATGTATGGTCGTAATAACTTACACAGTTAAAATAATTGTTCTAAGTACTTATCAATGTAATTATAATAGTCATCTCTCTACATTGTAAGTATAGGAGAACAGTAAGAATATAATTGCACGGAATCATTGTTCCAATCAATTATATGCAGTTATAAAATATCTTATTCTACAGCATCCTATTTATAATTTCATAGGAAACATCAACTTGAATCGAAACCATTACGAATCGATATCGTCATGTATGAGAAGAAGATAATAAGAGGTAACTCCTGAAATGTGAGACCATTGACTAACTGTTAATGTTGTAGTCAATGATCCTATTTTTAGTCAATGCTATTAGTCAATGGTGAGACATGAAAAGACATTGAATGCTTGGACTATTCTGTACTTTGCGGCATCACTGCACTGTACTGCCATCTGAAGGTAACTGGAGAATGAACATTGCAATACTCGAAGCGGCCAATGGAAAAGAACGGAAATGTTTGAAAGAAGCCTTTAGAGTGTGTGGGCTGGCAGATGGGAGTACCGGAAAGGCGGGTTCCACCGGAAGTCACGGAGGTTGAAACGTAACATTACGATCACGAGTAAATCCTTCGATTATGCCTAACGTAATCCTCAATGAATCGATTTGCATAAAATAGAAGAAAATCTAAATCTTAATTATCAAGGTACATTTAATATTCATAACTTAGAACTTCCGTTTTCATTCTTAATGTTTTTCTTAATTTAATTTGCAACTTTCTTCTCTTTTTTTCTTTTTTTATGCGATTAAATATAAGATATGAAAAATTTAAGATTGCATATCCAACTTAAAGAATTTGCTTATGTACTATGACTAATTAATTTCAATGACAATCAAGTGAATTCAGATGGTTTGCATGGACTTACATTATATTGATGGACCATCAGAGATTTCGCAGGAAAGATGTGCTCGTAACGTGATTTTCTATGATGTAAAAAGTGGAACTCTGACTTGCATATATTACATTTTTATTCGAGGCGATGAACAATCAGCACTGGTAATGCGTCTAACGGTTTTTCGTAGGGGAAAAAAGATGTGTTTTCAGACAGAAGTGCAAGCATCATAGATATTTCTGTACACTGAAAAACAAACAATCTTTTTCTAATCCAAAAAAGCATCATTTCATTATTTAATATTTTTTTAGACAGAAAGTTCTGTATTTGTATAACTAAATATTAACTATTATTAGTTATTAATAACTAAATATGGAAATTGGAGGACCGTAGCGGGATAAGATATCTTCCAATTTGAAGTATCAAGTTCAATGATTAATTTTAAATCCTGTGCAATTGATCTTTAATTTAAAAAGGGAACATTTAGGAATCATTGTTAACACATTTAATTTCTTCTTCCAATCTTATGCTAAAATTCTCTTTAAAACATTAACAATATTTTTGCTCAAAACAACAGAATTATAAAAATTGGAGAACCGTAACCGGATGGAACATCTGCCAGTTCAAAGCTTGACAAAGTGTATCACGGTATCAGGAGAATAGCAGAGGCTCGATTCTGAAAACAAGAAGCGTCTGATAAACAAACCGGGCGCACTTAAGCGAACCGGGTAAAAGTGCGAATAAACGAGCGTACGAAGAGCGTGCCGTCGCCGTTCCCCGTGCCTCTTCCTAAGCCCCCTTACTCGTTTTCCAGTCAACGACTTCGTTGGATGGTGTTGCACTTACGTGCACTGTTGCATGCGGGAAATATGGCGTGCTGCATACACGCACGTGGGACGCGAAGGTGGGGCTGTGCCTTACAAGCTATTCCTGTACACTATACACTTTGGAGTAGCAAGTAGCATAACAACACGATCCTATTCAACATTGTGTACTGTTTCGTCGCGACAAGAGCATGGGCTGGTGGATTAATAACGCAACGACATCTCGGAATTGCTCATTCTACTTTTTCACTTACAATTAGCAGGGTCCAACTTCTAGAAACGTTCACCAGTTTCCATACCCGTTCTCATTGATCGTCGATGGCTCTAATGAGTTAAAGAGAGAAAGGGATTTTTCGAGTTGCGTATGTCACGTTAGTTGCTCGTTTCGTCATTAATTACTCGACGATACCAGGAATCCACCACCATTGCCTGTTTATGGCGTAAATGGAAAAGTAGAGGATTAAGGATTTTCCTTTTCAAATTTTGATCAGGTAAACAAACGAACACGTGTTTCCATGGTATTTATATCTGAAGTTTACGCTGAATAAAATATAAAGGTTTGTATAATAAGTCTGCGAGTTGAACGTCTGTAATTTATCTACACAGGCATCTGGGATGTGTGTAAATGCTAAAAAGAATTCGTGGAATGTTTCTAAATACCTGGCAAGGCTGCTAGAAGTATCCAAGGGATTTGAAACGTGAAAACTATGAAACGGCGAACTTATGAAGGATAATTATTATCGCCGGCACGGGGCACGCGACTCGCCAAGTCACACGGTATTCTTCTCTTTTCCTTTCTTTCCTCTGTCGTCTTTTACCTCTCCCTACTATTCTACACTTTTGTAATGCCTCTCTGTCTCTGGCACTTCCTGTGTTCCGCCACATTCACCTGACTGCCAGCACCTGCCTTCATAAGTATCTAGGTGTACACAACGTATGGAGGCGACCGCGTATCCTATGGGACTTCAGTTTCCCCGCTCGTTTCATCGGCTACGCTGTGCTCTCCTGCTTGTGCCTACTGGCGCAATCCACCTGGAAACACGTCGAGTGCGCTACACGCAGTCGATGTTACGCTGTCGTTCACCACGGCTGAACTATCGAGCTTTTCCTCTCCTGATAACAGTCACGCCTCGAACCGGCGAACCTGCGGTCGACCATTAGTGTCCTCCGCGACCACAACTGGTTTCACTTCCCTGCAGGTTCGAATTCAAAAGTTAAATTCATTTATAAGTATTTAATTCTCTTCTTACTTCTATTTTTTTTTTTTTTTTATTTCTTCTTTGATATTCTTGTTTGTCCCTTGATGGTACTGGTACTTTGCACTGAGATTTTTCTAATCAAAGTGACCAAAATCAGTATATAGATCTTGAGCATCAGGTATCAGTTACGGGTTGGGTCTTTTGCAATGTTCAATAGCCGACGTTTTTGTTTTTCATGTTTTAATCGAGAAGAAGAAAGAATAATCTGTGGAATGTTTCAATAAGGATGGTATAGAAATTGCTGGTTTGAAGGAGGCTGAACGATTTTCTGTTTTACGAGCATAGGACTCGGCTCGATATTCGCGAGTTCTTGCCACAGTGAAGAATTGTTTAGTGTAATAACGCGTTTCTCCAAGCTTGAAAGGTGAATCCTTATTGTAAAGTGACTGTTGAATTACTGGCAGAGCTGATTTGTTTCGCCGGTTTTAGTGCTCTAGAATGTCATCTGGATTTCATAGTCGGTGAGTAAACCTTTCAACACATGTTTCTTAATAAAACCAACAGTATCCTACTGCTCTTACTATTATACGATAGTAGATTCAAGTTAGAAGTTAAACTTTTTGAAGACTTTCTCTGTCAGAGTAGCGAATCAAAAGTCGATACTTCTGATTTTCTCTTCTAATTACTTTTTTTGTTTTTTATTTAAAAAAATATTATCATTAAGAGTAGTTAGATACAAATATTATTATTGAAGTAAGTACTTATTAACACGTACTTATTGTTAGAAGTACGATCTAAAAATTGTATTGGAGAGCACTATGAAATATTCGCAATCGATAGAAATGATAGCTGATGGAAAATCCCAGGGGCCACGATTTGAAAAACAAATTTCGGACATTGGTAGTCAGGGCAGGTAGAAAATCTTATTGAAACAATGGCCTTGTGCGTATCTTCTCATAGGAGATTGTAATGGCGTCCCTCCCAGCGTGAATACGCACGTGTTCCGGCCGCGTTCCAAGATCGGGCAATTTCGATTCTTCCATGCTAGCTTTCCCACAACAATTTTCTTAGTGAAACTTTATTCGCGCAAAGTAACCGCAGAGAATTCAATTATTCTTAGTTTGATCTTCTTCTTCTTTGTTTCAATTAAACAATTTCTTCCTGTATCAAAAACTGAATGAATTTGTCTCCTTTTTATTCCCGTGATTTATCATCAATAGGATTTTTCAAAAATTTTCATAATTTGATTGTATTTTACGTTTTTATAATTACATAGACTGACTAGACTTATGGATATTTATGCATCCATAAGAATGCTGATAACTATATTATCCATTCTATGAACAAATTTATAATGATCAAGTTAAAAGGAACATAGGTATCTCGTGTAAAAGATATTTTATATTTTAGAAAACTATGAAATAGGCCATTCAACACGAGATAGAAGGAGTTAAAATTCTTTTCATCTTAGCCTTATTATTATCTTGGTTATTAAAACGAATGAACTCCGTTCTTTGACTGCAGATAACCGCCAGCTAATTCTCGCCGGAAATCATTTCTCATTTTTCTCATTGCAATTACCAAGTCTAATGTGCACGATGAAAATAATTCGGATTACATTCATACCAGTATTTGCTCGCGTTAATTGCTACCTAACAATTATTAAATTGCATCGACCGTAAAACTTATCGCCTCTCTAACATGACGAGGATGCACAGTGATGTATAAACCGAGAATTATTAATTCGAAACAATCCAATTGACGAAGCAGAATAATGGGGCCACATGCATTAAGCATTCTCCGGACTGTTTACCTATTGCCGCGTGTGCTGCTGCGGCAGCCTGTTACAAAGGAACTCGTATCTACCACCGTTTCTTGTGCTAAGTGGCTTGTTTCAATGGAAAATGAGTCACTAATAAGCTCAATCGAGTCAATCCACTCAATTTTTCACGAAGGTGTTACTCCTGAAGTTACAATTCATAAATTTATTCGTTCTTTCAACTGTGCCGATGCTTTTAACTTTTCACAAAAACTGTTTACTCCTGATTGTGTTATAAAATTTTGATTCATAAGTTTAGTTTTTCGGATAGACTTTAACTTTGTTTATTTTATACAATTCTTGAGCTCCCATTCGAGTCAGTTATGATCATTTAGCACAACTTTTTCTTCGGAAAATAAACTCGAGAAATATGACAAGTTTTTCATTTTTGAAATATTAGATAGATAGGATGCAGAAATGTTTACTCCAATAATCAAATAAAAAGATAACTTTAAACAAAATTATCGTGTTCTTTCTTTATAGTTTTCATTTATCAGTTATATTAGAAAGAAGAAAAATTTGTACAAAATATATAGCAATCTAATAATAACAATATAATTCCATAGTAACATCACGGGTAATTCAGAAATAGTTTTATAATCCAGAAATAGATTCATGAATGATACGGAAGTGATAATGCTAGAACTTTCTATTTACAGTTTTTGCGTATCAATATTAGCTCAACGAGAGTATTCTGAATAACGTATCTGAATGAGCTCATTTATATAAATACTTACTCACCGTATTTACTAGTTTCAACTCAAGAAATAGTTAATAATCGAGTCAGCCTATCTATGTAATAATTTCGAAACTTTTCTTCGTGCAACTTGGTCATTGAAAAACCAAAGGTCACAATAAAAGAAAATTCGCAGTGGAGCCTTTTAATCTCTACAAATTGCGACTGACTTCAACGGGATAAAAGAAAAAAAAAACATAAGCAGGGAAAAATAGTGAGAATAAAATTGAACGAGTGGGATGGTAAGAGTGCATCCGATGACATTTTCTTCGCGGCACGTTCACGCCTATCAGTTAGCAACGATCGTGTGCATACGTATTACAAACGCTTCGTTACGTTCCCGAAGGTAACCTCGAGGCCAGAATCTCCGACTTTCTCTCATCTCCGCGCATCCATCTTAGGTGTGCGGTTGCATATGCACGGAATGCAGCCGCTGACCGATAAACACCCGTGGCGATTAAAACGACCGGGGCTGACCGATTACCGAGACTTGTTTTCATGTTCTCTCGCATTCGGTACTACCATCGATTCGTGCGTATCAGTTTAATCTTCTCGGAGTGAAGATATTAAAGAACTTGAAATTTTCAGAATCTTGACGATTTGTAGATGACAGGATAGAGAATGGAATATTTTGTAGGAATGAGAGAAACAACTGTGAGTGAACTTTTAAGGGCATTTAATTAATTGGAGTAGAATGTTAAAATAATTATAATTATTGAATTTCGTGTGAGTTTCGAAGTAAATATTTACTTAATTAAATCATCATCATTATTATATATTTATATAATTCTTATTATTATAGTTTTATTTGTTTAATTAATTTGTCTAAAATGAATAAATTCAGATTTAAATTTATTTATTTAATTTATTATATTTTTATTATAATATTTTTATTATAATATTTTATTATAATATTTATATAATATTTATAATATTATAAAATTTATATTTTTATTATAATATTTATATCATTATCTTTTGAAATTAATGTGATGAAACAAAAAATGGAATTTCGTATAAGAAATTTCGAAGGATGAATAATAATACAGTCCTTTGGATTGTTTATGAAAACTTTCCGTATTAGATTTACGAGTATGTTAGTCATGTTTTCTGACGTCAACTTAAGAGAATAAATTAGTATGGGGAAGGGAACAGCAAACTCCGGCAGTCGTGCATGCACAAATAGAATGATGTTTTGCGATACTAGTTGTTCCAATTAAGAATTCAGTAAATTTTAAATCGTTTTACTTTTTCTTTTCATCTCAATATAATTATCATTCGATTCTTTAGAATCTGAAAAACACGTTTGTTCAAAAAGTTAACAACGTTCTTATAGCGGGACAAATTCTAAATTATTAATTACACCGCGTTGATATTTAAAGTAATTTTTTCATTGATAATTTCAATCATATTTCGACTCTAAATTTACAAAACGGTAGGAGCGGCTAGAACTGAGCGATTAATTTTTCATACAGAATTAAAATTATACCTAAACTGAAGTATAATTTCAAACAATCGAACATTCGAAAGAAATTAACGGACGAGACGAAATGATTCAAGTAATTGATCTTTCGCGCAGAAATAGTGTACAGAATTTAAAATTTAAAAAGTCCCTCCGACTTTCAATTAAAAACACGTTGTCTCAAGAAAGAGACGAAAGAAAATAACAGAAACATTGACGAAAGTCCGCTCATTTTAGAGCTTTTCTGCAACGTTGTACGCCTCAGACCTTCATGCAAAATTGGAAATTACCGTGAATGCGAAAACTGCTTGGAAACGTGTTACTCTGATCTCTAGGCCCCGATGCATCGTCGCTGCAGCTGCCGCGCTGTGACAGCTGCAGCTTTTTACTCGCTGCACTGGTTACTCTGGTTTCCATGTGCGGAAGACGTCAGACACGGTACGATCGTGCCGGTCGCACGCCACTGTCCGATAAAAAGATCGTGGAAAAAGAGAGGGAAACGACTCCGGCGTTTGTGATATCCCATTGCATGTGAAATAATAATGCATAATTATTAGTTAAGTTTTCGATGTTTACTTCGGATCCATCGATCTTCAGATTATTCAAGTAAAATTTGCTCTTATTCGAAGGTCGAAGTAAATGTATGCTAGCTCTAATAAGTATTCACACACGTTTATGACTGTAATATATCAATGTCAGTAAGATGTATGGATTAATGAAAATTTAATTATAATAAGAAAATGGATGGATGGATGAAATGTCATGTGAGTAGGTACTCATTGTTATGTTTAATTATTTCTATCGAAGTATGAATTTACGTAAATATTAAATACGTGAATTTATGTAAATATTTTTCCAATCTAATAACAAATAATAATATACTTGTCAACTCCTTGTAGAGACAACAAATAATTTTTTAGTAAAATATAGTCACCTCTCTTACCTTCTTGTAGAATCAATGAATTTTCTTTTTTAATTTTTTTAAATTAATAATTTGTCTCACTTTGCATTATTAATTATTTAAAATCAATTTTATCGTGTTATGATAATAACTGTACAAAATGTAATCGTCGTTTATCAACATATAATTTTTATTTGCAACCTAGTAATTGAATTAATATTCTGCAAAAAAATACGCAAGTGTTTGGATACTTTTTTAAGAGTAATATACATGTAATTTACATCTACGTGTTTCACACGATGTGCAGTTATTGTAAATAAATTTTTAGGCAGCATTTCCTGTCGGTAATATGGTGCTTGCGGAGTTTGTCGATGATAATAATGCGAGAATGTATCGTAATTAATTCCACGTTGCTTGGACTCGTAGTCCTTGAAACCGAGTATTTTTCGATAAAAGTACTTAATGTTTCAGTCTCAGCTCTTGCAGTGGAGTACGTGTCCTCGTATTCTGTGGCTTGCTTGTTGCAAATTGGCTGAAACTGAAAGATAAAGCTCTCAGTTTGTTTGATACTTATCAAAGAAAAGTATGCCTTGAGATACTTTG